ACCGTGAACTACGGCACTGCGTTTGCTGCCGACTATTACTGTGTGCTGCTGTATTTTGCTGCAGGACTGTTTGTTGTACTAGTAGGCTATTGTTAACCGYCATACGRCAGTGTTTGGTTTAGGAAGAAGTATTGGGAGTTTGGGGAAGGAGACAGGCGCTGAGAAAACGAAGGTTCGTCAGGGAGGGCTATTCCGACAAAATTGACACGTTTGACCAAGCTGTTCTTTTGGCTGCCATTGCGGGGCCCTCAGGAGCTGAAGATTGCCAGGCCCTCTCTAGTGAGTTTGAGAGCACCCTTCTTGAATCTGAGGGTTTTGCACTTTCTATTTCTATTCGTTCTTACTCTCCGTCTAGTCCTTGGTTACGAGAGGAAGGCGGCAGGCGGGATTGCAACCCGTAAGTCCGCATCAAGACTCTGTGGGGAGTCCACYCACCGATTGCGGGAGCYCTGCCGGAACTCAGGAGGAGTTCTGGAGGCAGGRAACYTTCAGRTAAACCATCTTTATCTGTATAAACCCCCACTACTACCCATGTTTGCCTATCTCCCTGCAGTATGATTGATGTATGCATGCGTTTGTCCCTATGGTTTTTGTTTTCTCTTCAGGACCTAATCAGATTGAATGGAAAGAATATATGAGAGTGAAGCATAAGTTTCAGTTATTTTTGAATGAAAGCAGACTAAGGTATGAAAAGGGGGAAGGTGGGAGGAAGGTAGACTGCATATGTTTGACCGGGTCAACCAGGGTCTGAGCATTGTTTCTACTGTGAATGGCTCAGGGCTATGTTTATTTGGCTGTTTTCTGAAGGACCAGGCATTGTTTCTACTGTGAATGGCCTGGCCGGTGTGTTTATTTGATTGTTTTCTGGGGAACCAGGCATTGTTTCTACTGTGAATGGCCTGGCTACCTTAGTTAACTCTGAGGGTTGCCTTGTTGAAGGGGTTAAAATTCTTGTTTATTTTTGAGGGAGAACCTTTGGTCTAAGGCTAAACATTGTTTCCATGGTGAATGGTTTAGCCTGATAACCACGCACATAATTTAAACTAAGTATAAAGGAAAGTATTTTATGTATATTTGCATGTGAATTGGCAGCTGAGCATTGTTTCTACTGTGAATGGTCCAGCGTTAAGCCATATCATTAAGAAGAGAGAAAGGAAAATACTAAGTATAAATGGAAATAGTTTGGGCAAGTTGAACATTGTTTCTACTGTGAATGGTTCAGTCCCCTGGCCATATTTGCTTTTCTTTTGAAAACAAAGTCAGAGAAATACTAAATTTTTGGATATTAAAACAGCTC